TGCAGTCCCGCAACAGCGTATGTTTTCATTTTATTTCTGTTATTAGTACCAGTTGGCGCCGCACGCATTGCGCGCAACACAGATCTGCGGCGAATTTTGATGGTGCGACGAAAATTTTCAAATTTGGCTTGATACACCACGAATATCTGAATTCTCAGCTAAATTCTATCCGCTCCATCATCGACGGCTTTCAACCTCTTTTTCTTCGTCAACCATTATCCTCTTTTTCCCGGTCTCCGGACTGCTTCCGGACAATAAATCTCGTGGCAAACTCCGCCTACTTCGGTGCGTGCCCGCCCACCAATAGCATTTGGCCCTTCCTTTCGCCGACCTCTACCCCTTTTTTTCGCCGGTCTCTGGGAAACCAATAGAACACTTTTGGCAGCTCGCCAATAGTGGCAGTGACTCTTTCTCGCGCTTCTACCACGTTTCCTTCTAGGATTTCTTGGACGAAATGCCGGACTTTGGCGAACTCCGCACCACTTCAGTGATGGCCGCCACTGTTAGCAGTTTTCCTTCGCCGACTCTACTCCCTTTTCCCGGCCTCCGGGACTTCTTGGAGCCGAGTTATGAATTTTCGTCGCAAACTCCGCCCACTTTGGTCAAGCCCCGCCCACCATTGACAGCTGGCCTCCACTCCTCCATACACCTATCCACCTTTTCCGGCTCTTTAAGACTTCCGGCCCGAATTATGAGGACTTGTAGAAAATGCTGTACACTTCAGAGCGCGCCCACCCATACTGAACGGGCCTCCGCCCACGTCATGTATGCAGGAAACACCTTAATTGCTCCCTTACACCAAATTGCTTTCTGCTCTGTTCCCCTCCAGCATATTTCATATTTGCAAAAAGTGACCATTAATCTGGTTACGATTTTAATAACAGTAATGTGTAAGATTTGGCCCCCATCACAGAAAATTTTGGTATGTGAAAATGCCAGATAGACCAAAACGGATGGTTGATTTTGTGCTACTGGTATTGCACGCTGAGCGCAGTATTTGAGGCGGTTTGATTTGGAAGATTCAAAAGATGTCGGACCGGATGGTAATGAGAGTTGCAAATATTGGAGAAAATCGGAAAAGAATGTGATGAGCTATCCCTCTCCTTACTACATACAGGGGTGGCCAAAAAAAAACAGACACTTGACTCCACATTTCAGACAGCATTATTCATCACACTTCTGCTAAAATGAAATTGGACTGTCCCCCCACTCAGCATTGAAGAGCACCTTCTAATCTATCTGAACCTTACATGACAGCCTTCTACCGACGACATCAGAAGATTTTCCCACGAAAACGTGGTTCGCGATACGAGCTCAACGAGGTCGTCGAGGTACCATAGACCATTACGACGTCCCTGAAAGCTGGTCAAAAGCGGTTTTGCATAGTCACAGCTGGTGTCTCTGGGAAGCTATTCAACAGTCAATCCATTGAAGAAATCATCGAGCAGCTTCATGCCGGAACGATTACGGTAAGCCTCGTTGAGTTCGACGGTGGCGGCAGGTGACGTCATATTCTGAAGACGGCGGGGACAGTGAAGGAGGGCCTGCTTCTGTTTACGGGGAACACCTTAGGAATATTTCGCCGTAAAACTTTCATTAACATCGGCACCCTGTGCGACGAAAAGTTCGATGATGTGCGCCATGGGCAAAGTGTCTTTTTTTTGGCCACCCCTGTATTAATGACACTAAGTCTGTCTGCCCGTCTGTCACGAAATTCGGTATCAAGCGAACAACACTACCAGATTGATGGGAGACCACCTGGGGAGCGGGTGCGTTCTGAGAGCGCAGCTTACAGAGCAGAAAGAAGTCAGGGCAGTCAAGCAATGTCTAAGGTATTTCCACCATACATGAAGTGAGCAGGGGCCGCCCACAATGCGCGGAGCGTGCTCCTTAGTATACGCACGTTTCTAGAAGAGCTCATAAATCGGCTCCGAGAATGACTTTAGAGACCGGAAAACAGTGGACAGAGGTCAGAGGAGGAGAAGCTAAATGTCAAGGCTGGGCGTGGCGTACACCGAAGTGGGCGGAGTTTGCAACATCTTAGAACTCGGCTTCCAAAAGTCAGTGCGACGGGACATGTGTAAATCGTTGATGGATGGGGGGTGGGGTTGAGAGGCTATTGAGTTGAGGTTCACGAAAACTCTATCATTGATGCGTCTCCTACAAGACCTCACAATTATGTTCCCAGAAGTCACGGGAACGGGAAAAATGAAGATAAGAGAGGGTAAAGAGATCAAGTATTAATGGTGGGCGCGGCGCGCACAAAAGTGAGGGGCTATCGAACTCATAATTCGGTCAAAGAAGTCCCCGAGTACATGAAGTGGATAGAAGTCGGCGAAGGAAATGAAGTCAACTGCTATAGGTGGCGAGGCATTCCACCAAAGTAGGCGAAGTTATCCTCGAAACATTGTAACTCGATACCGAGGAGTCCTGGGGATCGGAAAAAATGGATAGAGGTCAGCGAAGGAAGAGAAGTTAGCTGCTAATTAGCGGGCGTGGTGTTGAACAAAAGTGGGCGCGAGTTTGCGTCGATGTTATAAGTCGGTCCGAATGTGTATCCAGCCTGACTACGGTAGGGAGGTCACCAATTGTAGGTAGGTGGGGCGTGCACCGTTGTGGGCGGAGTTGCGTGAAAAATCTAGTTCGGTCCCAGGAAGTCCTAGAGATCGGGAAAAACGTGTGTCACGCTGTCCGGAACGGAAGAAACAGGTTATCAGTGTGTGGATGAAATCGCACGACGAAGATTTGGAGCTGAGTTGAAGGTTTTCATAAAGTCTTAGTGATGTCTGGTCGAGCAAGGGTGTTGTGAGGGAAGGGCTACGATAGACTGAAGTAGGGCATTTCAGTGCAATGAGTTCATAAATTGGCTTAGAAATCATGTTGCGGTGGCCTGATTATCTCTTATCTAAGATTTTTCTCAAATATAGGTAGTTATCGTTATGTCCAGTTGACAGCCGGAAACAGTAGAAAAAATTCTTCTGCTCTTGGCAGGGATTGATCTTGCGATTTCTTCACCTTTCCTTTTTCCTCACACCACCTAAGCGATTCTTCTAGTTCTGCCAGATAATACCTGAAGGACCACTCGTATTCACTTTGTTGTTCGGACAGATGCAGGGATTGCTGCATAGCAGGCTTTTCCCACCAGGTAAAACGTTTATGTTCTTATTCGCATTGACCAGGTGAAGAAACTGGTGAGTGCGAATGAAAATGTAAGCGGTTCCGTCTGGCCGAGTGCAGTTCGAAATAGAAGGTTGATAGAACCGCAAATTTTTATCATTGTGCTTGTCTTGCTAGTCAGGAGGGGCAATCTTAACTAATGTCTGTATTTATTGCCCCTTCTCAATATTCAGTTAAAGAAAAAAAAAAATAAAGCATTTGCCGTTGATCAATCCTTTTTGGGATGCGGCACGCATTCTACTTCCATTTGTACATTCGTAGTGGCGTTTGAATGCGATGTGGCCTATACAATGACTTGCGGGGGCCAGCCGATGTACAAGTCAGTGTTTTTATCCTCCCAGACAAGTCTGGTACCAATTAACCGACCCCGGAGGGATGGAAGGCTTGGTTGGCCCGGGCGACTCACGACCCAGGATTTGATCCCGGACCGCTCGCGTGGTAAGCGCGCCACTTGCCACTACACCACTTCCACACATATCCAGGTGAAAGAAAGAAAATTCTCATAGTCGGCAATGTCGTTCAGGGCGTGGAGTTTGTTGCACAAAATGTGGAGCATGAAGCTGTTCATCATTTTTTTCTGAGCGCCAGAAAAGGGCAGAAAACTTTTTTTGGGAAGTGGGACTTTTACATTTTTAATAAAATCTACGGCGTTTGTAACGTTGAATAGTTGCATATTGGAAGCTTTTTGTTCACTGAATAAGTTTAGACATATATGAGCCCAAGAAAGTGGAAATCAGAGAAATGCAAAAATTTGTCTTCAGTGGAGACCAAACACAAGCCACTGGTTTTCAGGAGCTTTTTTTGCATTCCGAGGCCTCTCATAAAAATGATCCTCAGTTTTATGCTCCCTCAGCCTGTCTCTATAGTATGCAGAAAACCGTTTTGAAAAAGCGCTCCATGCCCAAAATGACTTTCCTGGGAAGAGGAAGGCGAAGCTGGAACTCCGGTCCTCATTGAGTAAGGGGTCAAGCAGGACCAAAAAGGGCGGTTCTCACTCTTCCTAGAAAACCAAAAGGGATGCGAATAGTATAAAAAGATTGCGAATGATTTTTTATAATTCTTCTCATGTGTACGCTATGTAAGTTTAAGTTTTTTTTATCATAACCTACTTGGTTCTCTAATCGATATATCCACTGAGCCACCTCCACGCTCTTGCCATCCCAGTAGAAATTAGTACCTTTTTGTCGGTCATACAGCAGGTGAATCATCAAAATTTGCCACTGGTGTCAAGAATGGCTCCCTGTGTCGTTATTTAGCGCCATAATACTGTTACCCATGAACAGGTGATAGAGATGCTGATGCTCCCTGTACTCGAGATTTTTTATTATTATATTTGCGCTTTTGGGGTTCAATTCCCCATACCTCCACCTTTTTGGGCGGAAGTGGTGTAGTGGCAAGTGGCACGCTTACCACGCGAGCGGTCCGGGGATCAAATCCTGGGTCGTGAGTCGCCCGGGCCAACCAAGCCTTCCATCCCTCCCGGGGTCGGTTAATTGGTACCAGACTTGTCTGGGAGGATAAAAAACACTGACTTGAACATCGGCTGGCCCCGCAAGTCATTGTATAGGCCACATCGCATTCAAACGCCACTACGAATGTACAAATGGAAGTAGAATGCGTGCCGCATCCCAAAAGGGATTGATCAACGGCAAATGCTTTATCCTTTTTGCTTTATATTTGCGCTCCTATATTTCGCGCCATGTGTGTTCTCCAGGGAATTGAAGCGAAAGCGAAACAGTGTTCTGCTTAGCAAATACAGGTGGTTATGCTCGGATGTCTCATGTTTTAGCCATTTGTGATTTCTGAATTAGTGTGTTTTCAGCATGTCCAACGATGAAAATAGCGGAACTATGCATGTGATGCCAGTTTCCAATACGGAAATCGAAAGACCCCCACGCCATAGTGATCGGTCATCTGAAGAAACAGTTGTCGTCAACATCGTGCACTACGAGTTCAGAGATAAAGTGCGTCCAATTGGTTTGGTGCAACCGTTTATGTTGTTAAAAATCGCCCGATTTCCATTGTTGTAGGTTGGCCAACCGTTCAAATGTCACACATTGAACTTATGGGTGGATGGATTTTGTGGTTCTGGTGATCCGACTAGATTTAGCCTTGGTTCTCTTGGTAATAGTAGTCGACAAGTTGGTGTTATCCCGGTACGAGGTCAAATAGGTGAGTGTCTTTCTCCTCCATTAAAGGGATCCTCGAAAAAGTCGAGAATCTCTCTCACTGTAATTACTGGCTTGGGACCCATCGTTCACGATAAGAACAAAAGAACAAAAAAATTGCATTTGTTTTGGTAAAAAATTCGAAAAACCGAAAGGGCTGCTACGCGTTCAAAGTACCGCCGGACATCTGTCACAAATGCTGGCGACGGGGATGCTTCCACTTGGTTCTGGAGTGCCGTCACTAGAAACTCTTTCTGGCCTTTTGCTTATTGCACACATCTCACACTTCTACTGCATCCTATTCTATCGATCGATTTGTCTCTACTCTCCAAAATCGCACGCTTTCACCCGATTTTTTCATTTCGTCGCCTGATACGTAGTCGCCTCAAGGCGGACTTCTTTCCATGCCCGCCTTTGGCTCTGCGCCCCTCCCCTTTGATTGGTCCATAGAGCGTGGTTTTTGTAAGTTCGTTTCTCTTCGAGTACTGAATCTTTGTGCGTGAAACTTTGTGTGTTTTCTCTAGTGATCGCAACTAACCCATTGATGTCGAAAAGCATGAAAAAATTTCGGGAAAGATTCTTTCAAATTGGAATTCCAAAAATTTTAGCGGAGAGTCACGTTTGGTTTTAGCGGTATGAAATGGGGCGGAAAAGAATCTTTTCCCAGCTCCGCCCACCATGGGACTTGCTACGCCTACTCTGAGCATTGGAGTTTTTCTTTTCGCCAGTCTCAGCTCACTTTTCCCCCATCCACCAATCTCTTTGATCCGCATCTTGATTTTCCACTGTAAGTTCACCTAGCATGGTGCGTGCCCCACATACATTGGACGATTGAGCTCTCCTTTTTTGCTGATCTCTGCCATTATGTGGAACTTAGGGTCCAAGTAGTTCTATAATCCTTCAAGGAATCCTCTCTGGAAAATTCTTGCATTCTTTCTCACATGAATGTGTCAGTTGTGATCACTGGAAGCAGCACACAAAGTTTCACGCATGAAGATTCGGTTTCCGAAGAGAAACAAACGTACAAAAACTACACTCTATGGACATCGAAGGTAATTCGGGCGGAGCCAAAGGCGGGCATGGAAAGAAGTGCGCCTTTGGGCGGCTATCAGGCGACGCAATGAAAGAATCTGATTTTGGAGAATAGGGTGCAACAGAAGTGCGCGATGTTAGCGTAATAAGTCAAAAGGTTGAAAAGAGTTCTTAGTGACAGCTCTCTGTAAACCCAGTGGAAGCGATTCTGCCGACAGCATTTGTGAGATATCCGGCGGGAATCTGATAGCAGTTCTTCCGGTTTTTCAAATTTACAAAACAAATGCAATCTTTCTGTTCTTTTCATTCCTATCGTGTATGATGGGTCTCCAGTGATTATTGAGAGATAGAATCAAGGTCTTCCTGAGAAGAGTTCCTTCAATGAATAACGAATGCATGCATGTGCTGAAACTGGATAGGTTTAGGCCGAGAGCTTCATCCTTTTTCTATGCGAGTAGTGATAATATATTACTTGTTAAGGCAAAGGTATGCAAATGCAGTACAAAGATGGTCGAACAACGATTACATGCCTCAGTGAATCTCCATTGTTTGTGCAAGCTCCTCTCCATGCTAGACGTTTGAATGATGACACAGCCACTGTATATCGAATATCCGGTGTTGCTGAAGGCGACAGTGTCGATAGTGAGTTCGAACTAACTCCTTCATCTGATTGTTTGGACAACTTTTCCAGGGAGTTATAAAAATTGACCATTTGGCTGCACCTGTTGCGCGAAGAACACAGTTCTGCGGCGAAATGAAATCGTCCAGTGTAAATTCTTGAATTTAGCCCTTTTACATTACGAATATTTGACTTCTAAGCTAGATTCTATCCGCTCGCCCCTACTCCGTCCATGGATGGCTTTTGACCTCCTTTGTTAACCATTGTCCGCTTTCTCCGGAGCCTCTAGACCGAGGAATAAATCAAGTGGTAAACTCCGCCTATTTCGATGCATGTCCCACCCACCTTTTTTCCTCGCCAATCTTTCCCCACTTTTTTCCCAGTCTCTGAACTGCCTTTCAGTGCTTTACATGCTTGGCAGCAAACTCCACCCTCT